TTGCCCCATTTTTGGCCCATTTGTGGCCCATTTTACCCGGGATTTTTAGCCCATTTTTTGCCCATTTTTGGCCCATTTTACCCGGGATTTTTGGCCCATTTTTGGCCCATTTTTTGCCCATTTTAAGGGGGATTTTTGGCCCATTTTTTGCCCATTTTTGTCCCATTTTACCCAGGATTTTTGCCCCATTTTTGGCCCATTTTTGATCTGATTTTTGACCCATTTTTGGCCCATTTTTGATCTGATTTTTGGCCCATTTTTGGCCCATTTTAAGGGGGATTTTTGGTCCATTTTACCCGGGATTTTTGACCCATTTTTGGCCCATTTTACCCGGGATTTTTGGCCCATTTTTGATCCGATTTTTGGTCCATTTTTGGCCCATTTTACCGGGATTTTTGCCCCATTTTTAGCCCGATTTTTGCCCATTTTTGTCCCATTTTACCCGGGATTTTTGCCCCATTTTTGGCCCGATTTTGCCCATTTTTGGCCCGTTTTAAGGGGGATTTTTTGGGGGTTTTTTGGGTCCCACTCACCTGAGCCTTGGTGCAGCCCGCCCTGAGCAGCAGGGCCATGTCCCCCAGCTCGTGGGGCAGCTCGTGCAGCAGCACCGTCAGCGCCGTCAGGACCCCCCGCCCGGGGCCCCCCCAAAACGCCGCCCCCAGGGCCAGCCCGTCCGTGAAGTTGTGGGCGGCGTCGGCCGCCAGGTTCAGGTACCCCGAGGCCGCCATGCCTGGGGGGGACAGAAGAAAATCCATTTTAGGGTCCTAAATAGATCGGGAAGGTCGAAAATTCCATAAAAATCCACCCCAGGGCAAAGAAATCCCATAAAAATCGGACCTGAAATATGAAAATCCCATAAAAATCCACCCCAAAACCACCAAAATCCACCCAAAAACCACCCCAGAGTGAGAAAATCCCACAAAAATCCACCCCAAAACCACCCCAAAGTCCGAAAGTCCCATAAAAATCCACCCCAGAATCTGAAAATCCCATAAAGATCCACCCCAGGGCAAAGAAATCCCATAAAAATCGGACCCCGAATGGGAAAATCTCTTAAAAATCTGCCCCCAAACCACATAAATCGACCCAAAAACCACCCCAGAGTGAGAAAAATCCCATAAAAATCCACCCCAAAACCACCCCAAAGTCCGAAAATCCCATAAAAATCCACCCCAGGACAAAGAAATCCCATAAAAATCGGACCCAGAGTCTGAAATTCCCATAAAAATCCACCCCAGGATAAAGAAATCCCATAAAAATCGGACCTGAAATATGAAAATTCCATAAAAATCCACCCCAAAACCCCCAAAATCCACCCCAAAATCACCCCAAAACCACCCAAATCCACCCCAGAGTGAGAAAATCCCATAAAAATCCACCCCAGGACAAAGAAATCCCACAAAAATCGGACCTGAAATACGAAAATCCCATAAAAATCCACCCCAAAACCACCCAAATCCACCCCAGAGTGAGAAAATCCCATAAAAATCCACCCCAGGACAAAGAAATCCCACAAAAATCGGACCTGAAATACGAAAATCCCATAAAAATCCACCCCAAAACCACCCAAATCCACCCCAGAGTGAGAAAATCCCAAAAAAATCCACCCCAGGACAAAGAAATCCCATAAAAGTCGGACCCTGAATGGGAAAATCCCATAAAAATCCACCCCAAAACCACCCCAAAGTCCGAAAATCCCATAAAAATCCACCCCAGGGCAAAGAAATCCCATAAAAATTGGACCTGAAATATGAAAATCCCATAAAAATCGACCCCAAAACCACATAAATCGACCCAAAAACCACCCCAGAGTGAGAAAATTCCATAAAAATCCTCCCCAAAGTCTGAAAATTCCATAAAAATCCACCCCAAATCCATAAAAATCCCCCCCAGAATCTGAAAATCCCATAAAGATCCACCCCAGGACAAAGAAATCCCACAAAAATCAGACCCAGAATAAGAAAATCCCATAAAAATCCACCCCAAATCCACCCCAAAACCATCCCAATATCCAAAAATCCCATAAAAATCCACCCCAGAATAAAAAAATCCC